TTAATAGAGTTCCTCAGCCTTCCTTTACTGACTGTTTCTGTCGCCAGTTCACACAAGCAATACGCTATCACACGAATTATTCTACTTGACCATTTCCTGTTAGGAGCTATGGTTAAATACACTCACTTTTTGATGTTTTGAAACTGGTATTTTGTATCACTTTAAATTTTGTTGCACCTTTTTATAAATCAGATGATCGCTCACATAAAAAAAAAAGAAAAAGGAAAAGCAAAAGCATGGACAACAAAAAAACACTTCTTTTTGCCGGAACTTCTTCTTACCCAGTGCGAATCAGATAACCTTTGTCTGATGTTACATTTCCTCTATCAACAAGGAAAGTATTTCCCATAAGAAAACTTCTCTGTAAAATGAGATGTAGCCTTACAATCCGTGTTTGGCTAATTCGAATTTTATTATGCTGTCTGTCTCAAACCGATGCAGAAGAGAATAGTGTGTTCTCGTCAAGACGCGGCATCACTAAGCACCTACAGGATAAGCACTGAGCTCCTGTGACACAAAGGCGGCTCCCAGGGGTGGGGACCCTGGGCAACAGCAGCTGACCTGCCTGCCCGCTGCCATCGGCCATTGTCACTCTTCCCTCTTCCTCCTGTCAGCCACTATCTCTGGCTGCCATCAACAAGCTCCACCTCAAACAGCCATCTCTCCCCGCTGGTCCCGTTTACTGTGGCTAAGCTACAGGCCGAGAGCCCAGATCACCAGCTCTGTCGAAGTTTCTTCTACGGTAAGAGGCGGCCCTATTGGTGAAATGCAGGCGCGAAGGCATCCGGACATTGTGCCATCCTGTGGGCTGTTCTTAATACTCTGATTCTCCCACTTCCCCAAGCCCCCATCTGCGGCCTCCGGAAAGGAACGTTACAGTATGCTTTCCAAGGACTGACGCATGGGGGTCAGGAGATCAGGCCTGTGATTTGCCCCAACTAGCTGTGCGACTTTACAGGAAGTCATGACACCTCAGACCTCAGTTTCCTTATCTACAAACCAGAAAAATGGACTACTGTCCTTTTTTCACAGAAGAGACCGCAAAGATCATGTAGATAAGCACCACCTCATTATACTAAAAAGCAAACAGAAGCCAGGAGGCAAGTGATTTGCCCCAAGTCACACACAAGCAGAGGCAGAGCTGAAAGCGGAACCAACATCTACAAGTCACAGCTAATCAACCCGCACAATACAAAGAGATCTGAGCAGCTGGTCATTTTTTCCCTTTTCCATTTTGTCCGTTATTAGAATACATGCTCCTTGAGAACAAGGACATGCCAGACACGCTTCCTGTTTCAAAATTTCCAATTCACCCCATTAAAAAAGGGAGGAGCCTCGATGACTTACTCCCCACCGGTTCTTTAACCTATGGTACATGCTTACAGTAACCATAAGGAGGGCTCCCGATTTCACTTCTCATGAAAAAGGTATTGTATGCCTACCCAGGGTGCCAACGAAGCTGGGGGTTCAGGAGAGGAGCTGATGCAGAGATGTTCAAAGGAGGCAGACTCTGGCTCAGCACAGAAACAAACTGTCTACTAATAAAAAAGACCCCATGGGGGACTGAGTCTCTTTGAAATATGTTCAAATGTGTTGGAAAATATTTTTCCAAGAGCCAGTAGACTAGTCACCTGTTACCTACAAGATCACATATGCATTCTGAAAAGAGTGCCCTGCCTGCAGTGTAGACCACGGGCCAGAAAAAAGACAAAGAAGGTGCAAGGAGACTGGGTAAGAAGCCTCTATGGTAGGATGGTGAGAGAGCACTGAGAAGGTACAAGAAGAGATGGAGAGAAGTAGATGGATTCAAGAGGTATTTAGGAAGCGAAATCCACAGGACTTGGTAACAGACTAGATTTTGGAAATGTGACAGAGAGGAGTTGACTTCCAGTTTCCCAACTCCCAACTAGATGGATGGTGAAAGTGTTTACTGAGATAGGCAACAGAACAAGAAGGCTGGTTTTCAGGGGAGGAGGTGCTCATGAATTCAGTCTTGAACATGATGAGTTCGAGAGGCCACAGACATATCCAAGAAGAAATGTCAGCAAGTTCAATATATAGGATTGGTGCTCAGGAGGCATTTGGGCCAGAGATAGGAATCTGCCTCACCTGCCTATAGTGGTCATGAAGCTGCATGAAGGGTCATCTAGGGAAAGGAGAGAACACGTGGCTGAGCCCATACCCAGCCATTAAATGACTACCAGGAGGAGCATGATTATGCATAGGAGACACATCAGAGAGGTATGAAGAGAATCAGAAAGCAATGCAGAGCATTTGGTCTACTGAGAGGTCAAGTAAGGAGACAGAAAAAGGTCTGCTGGACTGACTTACACCTAGTTAACTTTGGTAAGAACTTTTTAGTGGAACGGTGGGGCCTTAAAAGTGGAAGGTGAGAAAGTAAAGTCAACCCTTGAGCACTGGCTACAATGTGCAAGAATGACTGGGCAATATCTAGAGGCGGGAGGGTCAAGTGGAAGAGGCTAAAATAGGAGCGTGTGCACAAGCCGATGGGAAAGAGTGCAGGGGAGAGGATCCTCACAGGGTCCTGGAAACGCAGGAGGGCATGGACTCCCGAGCGAGGGTGGAGACTTAACCTGAGGAGGAAGGGGAGCCCCTCCACGTACCAGGTGAGGAGGAGAAGGGTACAAATACAAGAATGGGACTGTGATCGGCAGAATGAAGGAGCTCCTGTATGACGGCTGCTAATTTTTCCGTACAATTGGAGATGAAGTCGTATGTTGAGATGGAAGGGGAAGGCTATGTAGGAGGTCAACAGCACACCCATGTAAATGGGTCCACTTTATCTCTGTTATGCCACTTTCTCTCCCCTACTACCAATACCTTATGTCCTATTCATCTTCGTTGGCTGTCAACACTAAGGATTTTTATATTTCTAAGCTGATAAAGTCTGATGTTGCCACCGCCTCTGCCCCAGGTGACTCTTCCCCATCTGCCACTCCTGCATCTTGATCACCTCCATCTTTCACATACCTTTCCCCACCTCTGTATATCTCATTAGATCTCATAAAAACCATTAACATGACTTTTTAAGTAGTCTCCTGCCCCCAGTCAGCTCCAATGCAACAGACATGACCATGAAACTTCCTGCTTTCAACCTGACTGTAACTCCACAATGAATACTGCATCAACATAGACCCCCCTCACTGGAGCGTCCAAGGTACAACTGGAAGCCCCACCCCACCTACATTTCTACCTTCCCAGTCTCATTCCAAAACGTGCTGAATGAGACATATATGTAGAACTATAACCCTGACAGCAAGCTCTCCACTCATCATTGCTGCCATGAAACTGTAACTTATAAAATATCTCTCTGAAGGAAACACAAATTGCAAATAACCTTTATCTCCAGAACCCACCCAGAAAATCAATACAGAACGGATGTTCTATGTATATTTCTTCTCTGTATGAAGTGGTCAGGTTCAGGAGCACTACAAATTGTCTGCTACATTCAGAAGTTTAAGAGCCATGAAAGAACATGGAGTTGCTAGCATTCTAGCCACTTTCCCAGTTTGCTCTCTCCCTTACCTCTAAGTCCTACTTTACAACTTCTATTTTGAGATCTCTATTTTCTGAAGCTGCTTTGACCAAAGGCATTCTGTCAGCTCACAGTGAGAAAATGGGCTAGTAAGTCTGAGAAAATGCTGGTGTTAGGCCCAAAGGAAGCCTGAAAAAGTCCAAAGATGGACAAGCTAAAGAGATTTCTGTGATTTGAGATTCTTTAAGTCTCTGTGTGTGCCTTTTCTTCTTCCTATGACCTCTCCTCATCATGTATCCTTAGTTAACAAAAGGTTTCTGGATCAGTGAATTCACTCTGCACTCTTTCAGGCATTCCATTCAAGTTACACCTTTTATTACAGCGGTTTAGTAGAAACATCGCTGCACAAGAACAAGAGTACAATATTCCTCTGTCTAGACAGGCCTACACATTAGAAATGATATGGCCGCACTGCGGAGGATCCAGATATAAACACTTTTTAAAAGCCAGAGTTTGGCAGATGTGATCTGAATGCAAATATCAAAAACCGGACTAGCTGGTTAACCCAAAAAAGAAAGAAACACAGTATGACTTGAAGTCATCAAAAAATAAGAAATTTAAACTCCCTCTTTCAAAATTTTAGGTGCCTACAGAGCCAAAACGTTTTAACTTTTTAACACTGAAACCAGCTACCAAATCCCAATCCTTAGAAATGAAACATATATTTTTTGATAGTTTAAGTACAGACCCAGAGGGATACACAAAATAGATAAAAAGTTCCTCCGAGCTCTGATTCAAATCTTGGACATTTTTAAGGCTATGCCTGATGAACCTTTATCGTCAGTAAAATGTTTTCAGTTCAAATTTCTATTCTGTAAGTTTACGTGCTACAGTTATCTGCAGACTAGCTTCGAGTTGACCTTATGAAGAGAAGTAGGGCAACTTTAGAAAAGGAGCTTGGTTTGCTTTGTAGTACTGCAACAGAATCAGTAAGGGTAGTACAGTCTTTCAAATCTGTCATTCCAGGAGCTTTAGACGAAAGTTAGGCAAAAACTTTAGGTTAAGTGCCTTTTCACCCGACCCGATCCCTGGGTAAGTACGTGCGTTCAGAAATGTGCTCAACACACACTCGCTGAGCTTCGAGGTGCAAGGCACTGGGAGGCTTCTGTCAGGCCAGGGGACCGGCGGTCTGACTGCACCACACGGTAACAGAGTCGGGTCCTAACAGGGGCTTTTACGTTTAGCTCAAAACCACTTGCCCTGAACTTTCAGGCCTTTTCACTCAATGTGCACGATTTCACAGAAGTGCTTTCTCCAGGCTGCACCTACCAAACCTGAGGCCAAGAGACTCACTGCGAAGTGCAGCGAGGTCCCCGCCGAGGGCCCGTCCCGGGCGGGCACGGCCCAGGAAGCCCGCAGGAGAAGCCGGAGGAGAGACCCCGGAGGGCAAAGGAGGGCAGACCACCCACGGCCCGGCTCCGGGGAGAGGAGCCCCGGCGCGCACCTTCATGAACTCGTCCTTGTCGAAGCAGAGCGTGTCCGGCCCCTTGGGCAGGTTCATCCTACTTTTGTCCATCCCGCCGGCCGCCGCCTCTCAGCGCCGAGACCCGAGCGAGGAGGAAAGGCAGGAGGCTGCGCTCCGCGACGCTGCGGCCGCAGCCACTGCCAGTTTCCACGCCACAGAAGGCACGGCTTCCGCCAACATGGCAGCGCCCGCGCCGCGGCCAATGAGCGAGGACGCCGCGGGCCCGCCTCCGCCTGCCGCCGCCAAGAGAGGCGCGCGGACTGGCGCCGCTGAGCCAGCAGGTGGTGCTGCCCCCATGCGGCGGAGGGCGGCACTACGGCCTCGCGCACGTTTCTGCCGGGCCGCCCAGCTGCTGGCGAGGCCCGGTGAGCCCGGGAGGGGACGGGAGGGGACGGGCGGGGAGGGTCAGGGGTGCTCCCTCCCAACCCCACCGTTTCCATCGGGAAATCGGCGTGCGAGCCTCTGCCAGTGTCTTCTCCCCGAGATTGTTCCGCGGGAAGCATAGCCATGGCGGGATGCTGGCCCTTTGGTTCTGAGGCCGGTCTTCCAGAGTTGGGCACATCACCGTGTCAGTCCTCCGGTCACCGCGCGCCGCCGCCGCCGCCGCCGCCGCCCGGGCGCTGAGGCCTCCTTGGGAGCCTGGTCTCGGCCCTTAGCCCCGGCCCCCACGGGCGACCATAGCTTCTCCTTCCCTGGGCTCGGTTCCAGCGATCTGTAGGGAGGACGGCGGGCAGCTGGGCAGCTCCCTGCTCCACTTCGGGCTCAGCTCCAGGGTGGCCAGCCTCTGAGCACAAGTTTGGGTCCTCAAGGCTCTTAAAGGATCGCCTCGCTACCGGCTGACAAAACACAGCCGACAAATAGATGTGCGTGCATGTTAATTTCGAATCTAAGCCGGGAATAGGCGAAATTGTGTTTGTGGCCAGCATTGGTGCAATCGCCACGTCTCCCCCCAATTTCTGAGACTTCCTCCTCCTCCCCCGTCCATCCCACATTTATTTTGAGATTTTCTTTCTTCTTCCCTTGCTCTCCCATTGTCCTCCCCTTTAGTGTGAATGCCATGGTCAAATGATGATGATTCATTTCTCTTTTTTTTTTTTTCTCCTTGAGAATCTGACAACTCAAACCACAAATCTCACTCCTCACTCCTCACTCACCCTGCAGCCTTGCTGTAATAAACCAGGCCTGGCTGCTCCTCCCAATGCTGTGTTCTCCTAGAGATAACATTACCCTAATCGTCCTTATAAAGGGATGGAACAGTGGGAGAAAATATCTTATCTTGAGAGTCTTGTATTCAAGTCACTCCAAACTGGAAACTGGTCACTTTTTAAAAACGTAGGTATAGAATCTGAAACAATATATTCCTTAGCAGTGGGCCTGGCAAGCTTCGTTGAAGAAAATACTCCCAGCCAATACCCAGAGAATATGAAAGAGAGGATGAGAGCTGGAATCTTATCTGGAGAAGCAGAATAAATTGCCAGAGGAACAATTATGAAAAGTGCACTCTGTGCCCTGTTACGTTTATTTGGATAGAGGGAATGAAAGCCTCATTATTTGGTCTTTGTTTACTTTTATTATGAAAATTTTCAAACATACACAAAAGTGTGGAGAGCACAAGGATCCCGGCCCTTCCATGTTCTCATCACTCTGCTTCCCCAATCCTCTGTTTCATATGCCCTCCTCCTATCACTTGCCCCTGCGGGGCCACCCTGTATTTTTTTTTTTTTTTTTTTTTGGAGGGAGGAGGTCTGGAATATATTTTAAAGTAAATCCCAAACATTACATCATTCCCTGCTCCCCAAATACCTTGGTTTACACATCAAAGAAGGAGGAAGGATGAAGAAGAAAAGATATTTCTGTACAGGCCCACAATGCCAAAATCAACAGGTCTAATAAGCTATTCCGATTGGCTCTGAGAGGCATGGCTTTTAGCCCAGGGCCACACTGTTAATAAGTGACAAGTGCAAACTCAGGCAGTGCAAACTGCAGCGCCCACACTCTTCACCAAGGCACCAAGAGAGGGGGCGAGGAGGCGGGGCAGACCAAACAAAGGTGTCTGGAACCCCCTGCCTGCCCTAAACTCTAGATGAGCTAGCAGTTGAACTCTTTCTTACCTTCGTTGTAATTCCCTTCTGAAATCATTGCCGGGCCTTTGGTAAAGACATGAGCCTGAACTTGTGCAGCCTGGAGTGCTAATCCTGGGGATGCTGAAGGGAATAGGCGCTAACAAAGAATGAAAATCCCTGCTGCCTGCTCTCCTCCCAGAAGTCAGTAGGTAACAGCCAAGGGTCAGGAGGGAACAGCCGAGACCCCAAACAGTGGGCCGCCACTTGGAGCCACAGACTGTGGCAGTGGTGCGGCCCACCAAAGCCAGGAGCAACAGGAAAGACCCCAGTTGCTAACGGAACACTCTGGGGAGGACAAAGAAAAGGTGGGGAGTAAGCTGAAACCTGCCCGAAGGACTTTGCCCTCAGTTTCCACTCAGAGCTGACATTAAGTTGGTACACACCATTTCAGCCACGCAAAGTTTGGTGACTGGCCTCTGGCCAGAGCCTGCTGTGTGTCCCCCTGCTGCCCTGAGCTCTTCCCAAGATCCCTACCATGGCCTCCGGATCCAGCCATTGGAAGGCTAACACGTGGCTCAGCAGGGGTCTTCTGGCCAGCTTTCGGTTGGTTAGTTGTCCGTGCTGTTAAAGATTTGTCTACTGTTAAATGTCTGACTCTCCTCTTGGGTGATGACACCTGTTTCATAGGAAACAGGAGCTGGAAGATTAAATTGAAAAGTAGATAGAAAGCTCTTCATCAGTGCCAGACATAATCAGCGGTCAGTATATCCTAATCTCTCCCCTCTTCTCTGACCTGTACTTTCCTTAATGAGGAATGAAACTTTAAGTTGACATTTTTTATCTTCAAGGCTCTCTCTGTATTCCCTAACTTCTCTCTCTTGCCTTCATTTCATCCTAAAGCTTGTGCTCAAGACTTCATTTCTAAGTAAATATTAACCCCCTTTGACTTTGACTCTCTGGAAAATTCTCAGTTCCCTATTTTCGCTGGCATCATGACAGGTCCTCATTTCTCCTTCCCACACTTCTCTATTTATAGTTTTCACATTTTTGGCAGGTTTGCTACAGAACACTCAAAAATTGCAAAGAGAAATATTGTGCTCCGGAAATTCACACAAGCATTTTCTCCAATATCATCCTTATGTTCTTCTGACCCTCTCTTGAACAGCTGGACAGCCGACTCTTCTACCAGCAACCAGAGTCATCCTTGTTCACTACTGTGGGAACGGAGGGTTTCCATTTTAACCTGCAGGCTGAGCCTATAGTCTGGTGGTCCTTGGGTGCCAGGATAGCAGGTGTGGGGCGGGAGAGACACGGAAGACAAGCATCATGGTAGAGGCCTCCATTTGGCCAGGAAAGCTCACAATGAGCCAACAGGGCCATTTCAACATCTTCTGTATTTTTGGTATGCCCTGTTTCATTCCAGAATGGATTTGAGGTCATTTGGTTTGATTCTTAAATATTTCCCATTCCAACTAAAAAACAGATGCATCCTAGGGCCTCCCAGATTCTGCCTCATCTCCCTAATCAATTAGTACCCTAAATTGGGTATGATGGTGCTGGAACATCCTTCCATGTCTATTTTATAACAGACTAACATTTTTTATTAGTTTTTTTTCAAACTAATAAGAATGATAAGTTTTTTGTTAAGCATTATAGGGAAAAATCACGAAAGACTTTGAAATGAACCTAAAAGATTATAGTGTCTTCCGAGGGAAAACAGGTGTAGTCTCATGTACCCTTCTGGGCTAACTGATTCTGTGGGACATTCTGTGCCTTTCTTGTCTTTGAGCTATTTTGCAACTCCATAGATCAGACATAATTGATATGGATGCAGATGATCTTGTCTGGAAATATGCAAATGAATTTTGTCCACTGGAAGTCCAGTTGACCCCCTTTCCTTTGGTAGAAGTCAATTTTGCATCCATTTGCATTCTATCTGCATATCTATTTGCATCTATCAAAGCAAATTCATTTAAGTATTACTGATTGTATATGTGTCTGCTCTTGAGATTCTCTCTTGAAGTGGTGGTAACATCTTAGTGGTTCCCTTGTTAATGAATGAATTAAATAAAATCTCTACAAGCGTTCATCTTATATTTGTAAAAAGGTCATTATTTAATCTTTTCAAGACAGTGATACATTAGCAGCATGTCAAACAATAAATTGTGATAGGATTCTGGTAAATGCAAAGTGCAGAGAAATCAAATCAGAGCGGATTTTAGAATTACCTTCTGTGTGGCCAGGCTATGCCAGAGGGGGAGAATGAATGAAACTCAAAGACCTGGCATCTGGTCCTGAGCAGTTACAACCATCTGTGTCGACATTGGCATGCCTGACAAATGTATATGACTTTCCCATCAGTGTTTCTTGGGGTTCAGTTGACCTTTCTCTTCCATGCTACTCTCCCCTGCAGTGATATCAGCTGGGCCCTTGGTTTCAGCTCCCAGTCCCTAGCCGACACCTCTCCCATCGATGCACCACCATCTGTTTCTTCCCTCCCCGCCAGACCCATGTAACCGACCCCCTACTTGTGCTATTTCACTGTGATGTCCCACCCGTGCCTCAAAACTCAGCATGTTCAAAACTTGATTCACCATCTTTTCTGAAAGACTGGCTTATCCTCCCTCATTTTGTTTCTTTGGAAATGGCTCCACCAATGCCAGAGGCATGCACTAGAAACCCAGGAATCAGTCATACAACTGAGCCAACCTGCTGTACTTTAAAACACTTGACCACAAACCTCCCGTGGGTACTCAACACCGACTTCAAACTCCCTTGCTTTCCCTCTAATGGATGACCATTTCACACCTTCAAGATTTGCCTCAACACCCCCCACCCCCACGTCTTCTGAACAATGCCCCCTCACTCTCAGTTCCTGTCTTACGGTCACACTTCAAGAAAATAAAAGCCACTTGTGCAGGAATTCCCTTATCTTACTGCCATCAAATCAAATCTATACTTGCATTTGTATCCATTTTTATTTGTTTTTAAACATTTACTCATTAAATATTTAGTAAGTCCCTACTATGTACTACATACTGCCCTGAGTGTTTGTAAATCTGTGGTGAACAACACAGAAAAGTTCCCGGCATCATGGAA